AAATCAAGGCACAAATAAATAAATTTAAAAAAATTGAAATGCTGTAATCATCACTTTTCTAACTACTGCAGTCTAAATAATAATCAAAATTATTTATTTAATTTATTGTGCAGCCCTAAAATCAGTCCTTATCATATAATGTTCCAATTTCACATCTCCCAGAGCTTTTAAATCCGTCTGCCATATGCAAATACATCACCAGATACGGTCTCAAATTATATAACCATGCACAAAAGCACTATAAGACTGCAGTAAGTAGGCTGCACATATTTATGCGTTTACTGTGTGAAAGTGTGTGACTGTACTGATTCATTCCTGTGGGGGCAGCGAACAACAAAATGTTTGCATTTCTCTCGATGACAAGCTGGAACAAGCACGCTGTTCTTTTTTATACAATACAAATGCCTTCACACAACAGCTTGGCCCCAGTCACAACAATAAAAAGCCGAGCTCGCAAGCCAAAAGGGAACTAATATCATTGATATATGTGGCGAGAGTGCAAGAGAGACAGCTGGACCGTGCACGGCCCTAGCAGGACTATTAGATTAGAGCCACACGCTCTCCGTCTGGTTAAAGGAAATGACCAAGCAGCCTTTCAAAACATCCCTCTTGGCGGCTTGGACCGAGGCCTCCTCCCCTGATTGGTAAAAGGTTTCAGGAGCATTTGAGGGCTCAGTTGAGATGCTATCACATGGTAAGTGCTGGTAATGGGCTTCCAACTGTTTGTTCGAAGAGCTTCGATAATGACAGGGATCAACTGATAACGGCTTCTGCACGCCGGCACGTAAGACTCCCACACAGTGACCGGTGGCCCTACGTGCACAGCTGCTTTACATACTCAGTGTCAAAGCAACAGCGGAGCTCCGCAGATGGATGTTTTACCACCAAAAGCTTTGTGTAGACAAGAGAAACCTCTGTGTTAGGAGCTCCGCAGATGGATGTTTTACCACCAAAAGCTTTGTGTAGAAAAGAGAAACCTCTGTGTTACATGCCAAAAAGCATGCTAAAAAAACATTAAAAAAAATAAAAAAACAGCATGAATTTCCATGCTAGACTAGGAATGCTTACTGGTGTAGGAATGAAAAAAAAGCACCTTTTTTAAAAACCAACAAGTCAGTGTGTTCCTAGTCAACCAATCAATTAGGCTGGTTTCACCTGGCACCAACTGAATACCTGACCCTGAAAAACTGCACAGGCCCAGCAATATGCACAATTATTAACATGTCAAAGACTGAAAACAGAAAAAAAAACTGTATTTTTTGTATGTTTTGTAATGCAATGCAAGATTATTATAGTTAACTAAAACTAAAAGTATAATTAAAGCTAAAACAATTGAAATAAAATAAACATTAACTGGAAAAAAATATATACCGGTATATAAAAACCTATATACTGTATATATATATATATATATGACAAAAAATATACTACAAATACATATACAAAACAAAACTAGTACTAAAACTAAAATGAAAAAAAAAAACAGTATAAAATTATGAAAATGGAAAATATAAAAATAAAAACTAATAAAAATTATAACTACAACAACTATAAAATTATATTGTATTATTTGCATTTAGCATTGCTTTTGGAGACACAAACAGCCAGATTGAAGCAGAAATTGTTTCCAAAAAAATGAGTTCAATTTGCCTTTATAAAAGTCGGTGTGAATTACCATTTGCAAGTCATTTACTTGTGAAGCAGGATTTTAAAAAAGAAAAAAGGAGGACCAAATAGAGTGGGGCTTGATAAAAATGACAAACACACACACACACACACACATAAAAAGACTAACCCTAATGAAAAAAATATAAAAATAAAAACTAATTCAAAACATTAATAAAAACTATAATAATGTAACAAATAATAAATAATAATTTAACAATGACACTAAAATAACACTGATGCAATGCAATACAATAAAATGCAAATAATAATACTGCTACACATTTTTTTGAATGAGTCTGCCATTTTTAATATTTGCCTTTAGCATGGTTTTTCCCTGCAGTCCACAGAACAGTTGAGAACTGGTCCTGGTGTAAAGCAAAGTATCCCTGTTTTAATCTGAATATGTATAAGAATATGAGACAGATCACCATTTCTAGGGGAAGGTCTCTGATTTTGTGACTAAATTTCGGTAGCTCAAACAGTAGAGCATGGCGCTAACAACGCCAATGTCATGGGGTCAATTACCAGGGAACACGCAACTTTGATAAAACCTATAACTTGAATGCAATGCAAGTCACTTTGGATAAAAGCATCTGTCAAATGCACAAAAGTAAATGTACATACATCGTTCACTTTATTACTGTGTGTTACGACCCTATAGTTTTGTTGTGTTTTGTTCTGCTTGTTTGTGTGTGTCTGCCCAGGTTGCTGCTGATTGGTTCCTGCAGACTCATTGATGTCGTCCTCTGATTGGTCTTCTCCCCCTTAAAGGAGATGACAGCATTTCCTTCAAGGGGGGGGTGGGTGTGGTTGTGGTGGCCATTTTGTGAACATGCTGTTTGTTGGTGCAGTGCCATTTTATATGTCCTTGCTGGAATTTTTTTTTCCCAAAATATTTGAAAAAAGAAAGAAAATCTTGCTGACCCCAAATCTTGAAACAGTGTTCTAAATCAGAATAGAGCGACTGAACGTGAATTTGCTAAAACAATGTCTAAACACCTATTTGGCTATTTGCTAACTTTTTCCAATAGGTCGTGCGAAAAGAAAAATAGTTATGTTTTATAATTTAGACAAAAAAATTGGAAGTAAAACAAAAATGTAAATAAGGTTCATTCGAATTTTACGCTTACTTCAAAATGATGTTAAAACTAAAGCCACAGCTGACAATGCTAATCAACATCTGCCTCGTCAAGCTCCTCCGATCATTTCCCAGATTCTCACACATTCATGTGACTTATTACAACATGTTTTCCACAAAGGCAATTTCGTATTCAGGCAGTCTGTATATGCAAGGTGAAATATGTTTCTCATTTTCATGACCAGGAGACAGAGAAGACTTGTTTATTGTGTATCCGTCAGTGTGTTTTCACAGCAGGGTGTGGTCTTGGATTCCACCGCACCAGGACGTCATCCCCAGGTGCTTCCATCACCCCTCCCTCACTCTCTCTTTCTGCCTCTCTCTGTAAATACCTATTGGATTAGGTGGGCAGCTGTAGGGGGGTGGGTACTGATTGACATCTAAAAGGCTGGAGTGTTGTTCAGACTTGCAGAAGAGTAAAAGAGGCACAGCAGGAGACGGCGAGTAGTGTATATCTCTCTGTGTGTGTGTGTGTTTTGAGGAGGGGGAACGCATAGTCTTCTGCTTTGTTGCTGCCATCCAAACCCATCACAGATTCTCCCCTCAGGACTTGAGATGAGATTTCAGATGTCTGTGGCTTGTGTTTTCCCCTAAGCTACTGTCTAAACAAGAAAAATTCTTGCATTCTTAAACACATTCTGGATCTAAAGAGCCAGTGAATGTGCTACACCTTAGCTAAATAAAAAAATGAATAAAAAAAAAAACAGAGAATATCTCTTGTTGAAAAACTGTGACAGCTGGTTTGAGAAACCCACTATTTTTCTGGAATGCTATAAGGTGTAAAAACTTGATGTACTGAACCGACAAAAGTTATTTTTGCAGAATAAAATGTCTGTTAAATGGCTCTTTTCCTTTCTCTCAGCCATCTGTTGTTTCTCTATCCTCTCTCACACACTTTCCTTCTGCTGTCAGATGTAAAACAGCGCCCCCTGTGACTATAGAGCTAAAATGCTGAACATTTTCTCTCTGGGGTCAAACACCTGAAGGAAATGTCCCTTTTTCCAGGGAACAACTCTAGCTAGCTACGAAAAACTTGACAGACCCAAGAACATTACAGTAAAAGAGCCACCTCTCTTTTAATTAATTAGACCGTTTTCTTTCTCTTCTTCTCCTCCTTCCTTCACATGTTTCTGAAATACCATACTGCTCACACTATGTATTCTTTACGCATTGCATGCTTGGCCTACTACTTTATCTAAAATGTGCAGCATCCAACAATGCATACTGCACGTATCCCACAATCCCACAAATCTAGTTTGATTGAACTGAATGTAATATTAAAGCGGTCATATGATGTTGCTAAAAAGAACATTATTTGGTGTAATGAAATGTGTTTATGTGGTTTAAGGTTAAAAAAAAAAATACTGTACATTATTGTTTCTCCTCTATGCCCCGCCTTTCTGAAACACGTCGATTTTTATAAGGCTCATCGGTCTGAAAAGCGAGGTGTGTTCTGATTGGCCAGCTATCCAGTGCGTTGTGATTGGCCGAATACCTCAAGCGTGTGACGGAAATGTTACGGGCCAAACAAAGTAGGTTCGCTTTCACAACGAAACACACAGCGTCACACACAGCTGGCTAGAGTGAGCAGTGGCCGGAGGCCTAGAGTGAGGAACGGCCGGCGGGCTTAAGTGAGCGGCGGCGGGCGGGCTAGAGTGAGGAACGGCCGGCGGGCTTAAGTGAGCAGCGGCGGGCGGGCTAAGATTTGAGACTTTAGTCTTTGCAACTTTACAGATCTTCTTTATGCACCAAGAGCTTGTAACACTCCAAAGAGAAAGGAAAAATTTAAATCGCATCATATGACCCCTTGAACCATAAATCTGATCACAGGTAATGTAGCACACTATTTTAAATGTTGCATTTTATTGATGCAAAATGCATTGTTTTAAATACATAACTTTTTAGAAAAGCACTATGTAAACATTTATATTTTTATGATGGAAGTTAAGGTAAAATGCATAAAATGCATTTGAAAAGTAGCAAAATGTAATGATAAAGGAATAATTAAAAGCCATCTAAGATCTTCATAAAACAAAATAATAATAATAAATTAAATACATAAATAGTAACCCCTCGTAGTGCCTAAAGAAACACCTCAAAACAAAATATTTTTTAAGAACCTAAAGGCAAACAGTATTCAGCAAATTTCCGTCCTATCAGCAATAAACTAATGCAGAACAGGTTCACTACTCACACAATGCTGCCATCTCTTTGGGAAGGTCCGCCCCAAACCGTCCAAACAGGCTACTATTGGTCAGCAGGTCGAAGGGGGAGTGGCTCCGCATGGAATTGAAGGCAAAGGGGTAGACAGCAGGTGGGAAGCCAGTCATGTGACCCACCTGCCGTTCCCGGTTGGTTGCCATGGCGACGGCTGGTTGCCAAAGGCTGATCGGGCCTGTTGTGTGCTTCAGTGGCCTGTGTGACAATGTTGGCAAACTTCTCAGGTCTGCGTCACAGCTCGGCTTTCACTCGTACAACAGGACGTACCTTCAGGAGGAAACATATATGATCAGTTAAGCGTTTGTATTTACAAAGAATTATAAACAGTAGTAAAACAGTTCAGTGAGTCAAAGATCCACATAAACAGGGCAAACTGCACATTTACTCTCTCAACTTAAGCCGCTCAAAACCCAATTGACTTTCTTTCTTCATTATTCACTCAAAATATTCCACTCAAGTGAATTTGAGAGCACTTGTGATTGAATCACTGACTCAGTGGGTTAAATGAACCAGACCAATTCAAGAACGAATCATTCAGTCTGGTTTTGTGAATCAGGTCAGCCAATTAATTGAAAAGAACAACTCAGAAGAATGATTTGTTCACTTAGTTCCCTCATTAATTCATCAAGGATATGAAGCAGATGTCAAGGCCTTTAGAGAATATATTCTCTGTCTGTTCCTCACTCAAAGCTATCATACGGCTTCAGAAGATTTGAAGTATAGTGCACAAATCATACTTTTCTGGTGCTTTCGCATCCTTTTTGAAGCTTGAAAGCTCCAGTTCCATTCATTCAAACTGAATAGAAAATGTGACTAGTACATTGTAAAATGAAATGAAGGTGGTGGAACGACATGAGCATGAATAAATGATAACAGAATGTTAATTTCCGGGTGAACTAATCTTTTAAGAACTCCTAACGTAGCACAAACAGCAATCCGAGAGTTTCTCACATCAGTTTAACAACAACCCAGCAGCCAGTGCATTAGAGAGGAGGGTGGAGTCTGAGGGAAAACGATGGGGTGATATGTAAAAACGGAGGGAGGAAAAGAAAGAGAGCAAAAAAAAGAAACGAATGGGAGGGAGGAAAATAAAAAAGTGGTTAGGAAAAAGTTAGGTTGAGGCAGGAGAAGAGAAACAGAGGGAGGGAGAAAGAGAGCGCTCTTTTCTGCTCCGTTTTGAAAGGTGTCCAGACGTCTGTGGTGTTTCCAGGCTATTCCATATGATTTAAATCACCCAAACTCCACAAGAAAGAGCTTCTCTGTTTGGCCTGCCAGTCTCTCAGCCCTGCACGACTACAGTCGGCCTGTCACAGACCTGAGGCCCCAGCGCAGTCTCCAATGGAGAAGATGAGAACTGGAGAGGAACCGTAAGAGAGGAAGAGGTGACAGCTTGTTGTCCAAATTGTTGTGCATCTTTTCAATCACGCTTCCATTCGATTTCTGTCACAAGCACAAAGAAACCTCACTAAATTCTGATTGATGCTTAAAACAAGAAAGCATGATGTCTTGATATATTATGCAGTTATGCTTCTCAAAAACATTTTGTCTTGTTTTAAGGATGTTTCGATATTTGCACTGGAAAACAAAAGTGATTTTTTTTGGCAGTGAATGCAAATCCTGCTTAACGTCTCTCTTACGCACACTTTTCAATAAGACAAAACCTATCTTCATCACTGCACTAGTGAATGCTGGGTTGTCCGTTTCCATTTTTTGTTCCTTCTCCCTTGAGTGATTTTTATGAGTGGGTGGTGCTGGCGGCTTGTTGTTTAAATGTGGTTTTTGAAAAATGAGCTGAGCCAAAGAATTCAGCGCTTTTTGGAAGTGCTGTGGTTTGTCAATCAGGGCAGAAAGCAAGGGAAAAATCGTGCTCATGAATTCGGCATAAACATTGACCAAGCTGAGAGAAATACAGAAAAAAAGGAGACAGATTCAGTGACAGAGTCCGGGCACTGGGGGGCACTACGGGGGCGGCACTCTGGCCAGGAAAGAAGCCTGGGCTTTCCAAAACACACATTCATACATAGTCATAGTCTCTTTCTCACTGTCGCATAAAAACACTTGCACCTGAACACATAGTCTTTGAGAGAAATACTGTGCTCCCTTTCCATAACAGATGCACACAGCTCTACTGTAATCCACATAATGAAACCCTAAGAAACCTCTTGCCAAGTGCTAAAATCATGTTCATGAATTCGGCATAAACATAGACCGAGCCGAAAGAAAGAAAGAAAAGAAAAAAGGAGACAGATTCAGTGACGGAGTCTGGGCACTGGGGGGCACTACGGGGGCGGCACTCTGGCCAGGAAAGAAGCCTGGGCTTTCCAAAACACACATTCATACATAGTCATAGTCTCTTTCTCACTGTCGCATAAAAACACTTGCACCTGAACACATAGTCTTTGAGAGAAATACTGTGCTCCCTTTCCATAACAGATGCACACAGCTCTACTGTAATCCACATAATGAAACCCTAAGGGTAAACCCTCTTGGGCACTTAAAATACTTTTTCGAACTACATTTTATTTGTTTCATTTATTTTACAAACTGTGCAAATGACACCACAACTGAGGGATTTTTCAAAAATGTATATAAATCATTTTCACAGAATAATTCATTAAATTATTAGATTAAAGTAGTTTAACTACATTTGTATCATAGATTTTTTAAATCATTTAACCTACATAAAATGCATTCAAAAGCAGCAAAATAAGTGATGCAGACATGATTAAAACGTTTCTAAGACCTTCATAAAGCAAAAAGCAAAAAGATAATAATAGCGCTGAGAGAAACAAAGTAGAACTGAATCTTCTATAAGAATGTATTGCAAAAACATTCATTAATACATGCTAAAACAAATATTTTCTCCCTCAATGTGCCATTTTCTTTCATGGCTCCATATACACATCTGCCAAACACACACACACACAAACTCTGGTCCTCTCTGGTTCTGTTTCTTTCAGCAGAGCCAGTTAATTACAGCCTACTGCTGCAGGCAGCTTCAAACCACCACTAATTTAGAGTTCCATTACAGTAAACTCTTCCACATGTGCATCCAAGATAGGGTGGCCACGTCTAAGGAAGGAGCTCTGCAGATAGGCACACGCCCATAGCCAGCCACAACAAGGCCTTGCCATCTCCCCACCTCCCACTCTTTTTTTCTCCAGGTCTGGTTTTCATCAGAAACTGTGTGCCCTCGAACCCACCCCTGCCCATTTCGCCCCCCTTCCCCAAACCCCCTCCCGCTGCAGCTCCGTCCATGACCCCTCAGAACTGTTCCATATGTAACAGATATCATTTAGAGCTCACCATTCAAAACCACACATTGCTGAAGTCAACGTTTTTACTCTGGAGACTGAGGCAGCATAGGAGAAATTCTTCGCAACTGAAGCAGAGTGGAGCTGCTCGCTCTAAGGCCAAATGTGCTATTTGCTGAACTGAAAGCGTTACTGTGAACTAAAATGATAGCATAATTATGTTTTCCACACATATCAGTCAAGGTTGGGAAATATTTGTTATATATCCACCGGGAATGTTACCAGACTTCTATTCCAATATTCCAATTGAAATGCTTAGTTTCTACTGTCATATGCAAGTCATGAAATATAATCAGATATCATTATATGCTAAAACAGTCAATTAAGATATAAGATAAGATGAAGATAAAGATGAGATAAATCTTAAAAATATTGAACATTTTCTCCGATTAATTCTCAGATTAGGTAAGATTATTTTTATCTTTTAAGTCATTTAAAAAAAATATTTATATATATTTTAATGTATTTATTTTTTAAATGTATTTACTTATTTTAAATGTATTTAAAATATTTTTATTTATAAAACATTTTTAATGTACATATTTATTTTTAATGTAATTAATCATTTATTTAAATCCTTATTTATTTATTTCCAGATAAGACAAGTCAAGTATTGTATATTTTCTCAAATTAAGCAAAGATTATAATTAAAATTAATGAATATACATTTAAATATATTTACTTGTGCATTTATTGTATTTTTTATTAATTTTTAAAATGTTTTAATGTATTTTTTAAATGTATTTATTTAAATGTATATTTTATTTACGTATTTATTTATTTACTTTTAATTGGCATTAATAAAACTGATAGATTAGATTGATTAGACTAATCACAGGACGAAAAATTAGAAACTGGACTAAATACAGAATAAAAATTACTGGACTAAATACAGCATGAAATAAAAATGGGCTAAACAAACGGTCTGCTGGAAATACAAATCTGGCTCTCACTATAATATTTTGGGCTTGCATTAACTAAGTCTTCTGAACGTTTGACTCTTACCAGTAGTGAGAACATCAAGAAATAAAATAAGGAGGACGCTGGGAATAAAATAAAAAGCTGAAGAAAAGAAACAAGACGAACTGTGTGTGAGAGAGAGGAGGAAAAACATCAAAATCACAGCCAAAAAAACTTTTACAGGGAGAGAAAAAGAAAGCAGAAAAATAGTGGAAAAGGAGGAGAAAAAAAGGGAGCCGGGGAAAATCCAAATCTCATGCAGTCATTTGAAAAGAGGGGAACTGATTGAAAAGGGATCTGTGTGTTCCTAGAATTTTCCAAAACACAATAATGAATTAATAAAACACTTGGCGCCTGCGTATTTTCATGAGTCACATCGGCAAAGAGTTTTACAAAGTATGCTCTGCTTTTATGGCAGGCGGGCTGTGCAGAAAGTGAGCTCATCCTAGGGCCCTCTCTCTCTCTGGCACGGGCCCCCGGGGCGCACACACGTGTAAGTACATACACACATGTTCTCTCATTACTGCTATTCTCTGGCTGACCCTTACACACACGCTCATTCAAACTCCTCTAGCCCACTCTGGGCCGAGAGGGGGGCAACGGCGGGCACCAACCGCAGACCCGACGTTTGCAGGGATTATAAGAACAGGCTGGGACTTTCCAAAAGCCTGACTTCACCACCGTTTCTACATTGCTCCTCACAGAACAAACACATCATTAGCAGAGCATGCTGAGGCCTATTAAACACAGAAAAAGAAAGAAAGATTGAGCGAGACGAAGAGAGAGAGAAAATGCTCCTGGCATGGTTGGGTGATGCGCTGAGTATCTCTGACAGAATCAGCTCTATGTGATTCATGGCTCCTCGGGGCTGGGCCGAGCTGGGCTGGTGACGTCCTCTGAAGTACTGCAGTTCGCCACTGTGAAAAAGGTAAGCAGGTTGTGTTTAGAGGAAGAAAAAGTATCCAGTTCAACTCAGGAGAGAATTGCCTTCCA